TAACTTTACAATGGTATTCCTTTACCTGTAGTAGAAAAACTGAATAATGATCATGGTTTTAGGGAGATTAAATATCAAGACCAAGGATAGAGAGTTACTGAATATGTGGTATTAGGATTTAAATTTAGGTGTATTTTGCTCAAAGCCTCTTCTCTTACCCACCACTCCTTTATGTCTCAGGAGAAAACCAAATACCAAAAACCAAACCCAAACAGTTCTTTAGATTGTTCTATAAACAGGAGAAATCCTCCCAACAGCATCAATGAACGTATCCTTCATATATACACAGGTAAAATCTACCCACTCTGAAAAGAAAAGACAACTATATATCAAGGGCTCAGGAAATGAGTACATGTCCTCATATACACAGTGGGCACAGGGATCATTTCCTCCCTGCTACCTGAAAGGATATAGTACAGAAACACAAATTAACACAAACAAAGGAGAGCTCCTTTGATTGCCCTTCCTAAAAGATGTGACATTGTTTCTTTGTCATCTTGTGAGAAGATCTTCTGCACAGGCATGACTGGAGTCAACTTTGATTACTTGAAAGGACAAGCCAAGAAGTGAAGCATCAAAAAGTTTCCACTTAAGGGTACTTCAGTGATAGCTTATCAGAAAAAGCACAAATGGAGCTGGAGCCTTCAGAACTGTGGGGAAATTCTGAGCAAACACTTCTTAAATAAGGTGATTGAACTTTAACATTTTCAGAGTGTGGTTTTTGTATTTTTTTTCCTTTTGAAGGCAGAGAGAGAATGAGTTTTTGTTTTTTTTTTTTTTGAAATGATAAAGGAGTCTGGCTTCTAGAGATCAAAGTATTCATGAGTCTACAGAGGGTAGGCTGTTACCTTCTAATAAGAGCTCTAAGTGAACAATTAGAAAAGGGAGAAAGGCATCTTGCTGCTTTCTTTCACCTTGAATGTCTTGTTTGCCTTCTGTCAAGAGAAAGGCCACCTGCAGTTTGATACCTTTTCTGAGAACAGGCTAACACATGAAAATATATGTGGGCCCACCATTCTCCTGTGTGTCCTCAGGACAATTAGTCCAGCATGCTGGGTCTGAATTTCCTCACCTAAAAATGAGGATAATAGTGTCTCATACAGCTACTGTCAGGAGAAACTGAAACAGTATATTACAAACAGTATTTTACAAGCAGTATATTACTGCTTGGTACAGTGTGGGGGCATAGAGAGGGTGCAAGGAAGTAACACTGACAACAAGCATACATCATCATTGCTACCAACATCATCAGTAAAACTGTCTTTTACCAAATGTGGAAAATTAGGCAAATAAGCAACTTGCCCAAGATTATGAGGTAAATGACTGTCTGTGCTAGCTTAGAACTTTTCTTCTTGCCTATTAGACCAATGTGATTTCTGTGCCAGAGCTGGTAATACCTGCTTTCACTTTAGGTGCTTCAGCATCAAAAATAGCTCTTCAAGGAATTTCAGAGTGAGCAGTTATGGGGACTAAGGGGAGAAAGATGACTGCCATAATGAAAATAACCAAATTAAACTCTTGCAAAAGTTTTCTATAAACAGCATTACTACTGCCTTCTTTGTGAGCTCTTCTGTACATGGAAATATACTAAAAAACTACTGTTGTATATGAAAGATGCAGAGGTGAGATAGACTTCTTTTAGAAAGGAAGTGGAATCTTGTCAACCCTGGAGAAATCAAGCAAAATTAGTGGGCAGTCTTCAACCAAATGAGAGGCAGTGCTTCTATAGTAATGCCAACTGCAGGAATGCTATTGCCCCAGACTTGTGGATTTACTAGAACTTCTAGAAAAAGCAGGGAGGAAATAAATTAGTTTAAATTCTTGTAAGAAGAGATCTTTTATAGCTGTAGAGGAACTATATATTGAATGGACTAAAAAAATCAGTGTCGTATACAGGCCAAGCTATAAAGCTACACAACCCTTTTTATTGCCCTGCTTTCTTAAAATGCAGCAGGGGGCTGAAAAATTTTCCATTCATACTGAAAAAATATATCCAAAAATACAGGGTTCACTTATGAGATAGTTAGATCATTGTCTATAAATTCACGTTTCTTTCCTGAGGATGTTTATTGAGTCCAAGTCAGAGCACTTAAATGTCATTTGCCTCTGACCAGTTTATTATTACAATGTAATTCATTGACTAAATGAATGCATATTACAAGTCACCTCTACATGGGGCTGTTCTAGATCCAGTGAATAATAATAACAATAAGCATTTGTATGATGCTTACTATGTGCCAGCACTATCCCCGGGGTCCTGCATACAGTAACTTACTTGATTCTTACCACAACCCATGAAGTAGGGCCTACTTTTGACTGCAGTTTACATCAGGCACTAAGAGTTAAGTATCTTGCTCAGGGTCATGTAGTTAGTAGGTTGAATTAGGATTTGAACATAGGTAGGCTGGGCCCAGAGTTCATGCTCTTGCCCACAAGGCTGAGGTGACTGTAACAGGAGATCCTGTCCTCATGGCCCCTGCTGTCTTGAAGGAGAGGGAAAACAGACAAGGCAGGAGTAATGTTACTTTAGGTACTGATAAGTGCTGTAACAAAAACTAAGGCAGCACAAGGGAAGGGTGGTTGTTTTAAGATGGAGTGCAAGGTGAAATCTGAGCACAAGCTTGGGTGGAAAGGGGAAGAGAGCTGAGGAAAGTCTGGGGAGGACCTCTTCTAGGCAGAGCATGCACAATCTTTGAGATAAGAACAAGCTGGGTGTGCACCCAGGGCAGTAAGAAGGCTATCAAAATAGTGTGAGGAAGGTGAGAGCAACTGAGGGGCCTCTGAGGACATCAGAAGGATTTTAGATTTTACTGTCAGGGTGCTATGAAGCTCCTGGAGGGTGCTGAGCAGGGGAGTGGCCTGATCTGATTATTTCTTTTGGAAAAGATCACTGTGGTGGTGGTGTATGGAGAATACCCCCTACAGGGGTAGGGGAAGAGACTACAACATAGTGGGGCAAGTTAGAAGGCTATGCAACAGCGCAAAGTATGGTGTGAAAGAATACAGACTTTCCGCCTCATTTTAGGTCTTTAGTCCAAAGTCAGCTTATATTAGCTTGTAGCGAGGCAGCTTGAGGTCTACCATGTCTCATATTCTAACTCCAGTAGAAACTGCATGTGGATTCAACAAGTCTAGACGCGAAAGGAAAGTGAGCAGAAACTTCCCAGCTGTTAATGTCTAATTGGCTCAATAGTTCTCCAATAGGAGGAGAATACTTTTATTTTTGTCAGAGCCTTTCTGAGGAGGGGACCACATGCTGTTCTATAAGATCATGTTGAAAGTAGATAGTGTGTATGCCTTATCAGGAAGATGCAGTGCTATCCTGGGGAGGCACCCTTGGCTGGCACACTCCAATGAATCTGTCTTGAGCGTGGACTTGCTGGGGATGTTGGGTGAAGACCTGTCTAGTCTTGTTTTTTGAAAGGATAGTTCTAGCATTTCAAACCAAGAAGTGACAAAGACAATTAGACACAATAGAAGGCAGTGGCACAGATTATTTACAGGCCCCTTTGCTAAGCAGTTTATACTCTGAATAGCATTACACTAAAGATGAAACCTGCCTGTTTTGGAGATGCTGCCAACCTCTACGTGGAGAACATGCCAAAGACTGGAATTTTTCTGAGTTTATGCAAAGAAGGACTCAGGCTGCTTGTTCTTCTACGTTCCACTGCTAAAGGATTCCACAAAATTTAACACCTGGTGACTGGAAAATGCCATCATTCTAGAGTTTCCAAAATGTTGATTAATATAAATGCTACTCTTGAAGTATAAGCAAATGTGTAGATCAAATGTAGTTTCTTTTTCTGACTAGCCTATTATGTCTTCATGGCTCTAGTTAAAGTTCACTTCCTATGTCTGTCCAAATGTGGCAAAGTTATTCTTTTGCTAGATGACTGTATAACTCAAAGATGGTTATTAGAATCTAAAATGTTATTCTAGAAGGAATTGCTCCATTAAGTAGGCGACATAATGGGACTTTTCATCTTGACATAAAATGCAAACAACAGTTTTTAATATTGTTTCTATTAAAAATTCTTTTTAGAGTCAAGTATGAAGAAGGGTCAGGGAAAGACTGTAGTCTTATGTAAGGTTGGCCAAGTTGGCATCTCCTGATGGTGCTCAAAGAGCCCATTCCAAAGCACCACTGTCTAACTTAGAACAATGGTAAGGGGATTTCTCCTCCACACTTCATAAGCAAATTTATTGCAAGTAAGAGAAAAACTAATGGAAGCAGAAATGGAGCTTATGGTGTGACTGCTGCTAAAGCAAAGAAAAACAGTGAAAAGGGAAATTTCCTAGAGAGCAAGAAAACCAATCAACAGAAGGTTATGTTAGCCCTTGAACCTCTAATTACTCTCACAGTCCATGGACATAGCAGACCACCCAGGAGACCACATAACTGCACATGCCCCCCTCACATCATGAGAAAGAGAAAGGCGAGCACAAATCAGAGAAGTGATCTCTGGCACTTCTACAAGATGAAACAAAACACCTACCAGGGTCCTTTATGGGGGTCAGCACCAAGCAGCTGTGCTTTACACCATCTGCACCTGCAGATATATCTCCCACATGGCAACATAATTCAGGTTAATCACCTATGATGGTGTCTTCAAGCAAAGGCCGATGTTCTATTTATTTAATTTATGACTAAAAATACTAAGATAAAGATATATTTATACTTCAAAATGTGTATTTTGATTTAAAAAAATGTCATATTGAAGTTTCTCATACTTAAAGCATCAATCCTTACTATGAGAATTCAGTTTCCCAGAAGGATGCAATCCCTGGAAATTCTGGAATGCTGATATTTTCTTTTAGGTTCTCCTTGAATTTGAAAATATGAGAGTTCATCTTTCAATGTCTGTATCAGTAAAAGGAACAGAGTTTCATGATGCTGCTCTGTAAATCACAAACACCAAGAGTAGTGCTGTCTAATCAAGGCGAATATGTCAAAGATTAAAGCTCTTAATGAAAAACAGCATGTCACTGAAACTTCTTACCTGTCGACGGATTATTTCAAGGTCTCTTTTGGCTTTATTCACTAGGGCTTGAATTTCTACAGGATCCTTTACATTTTTATTTTCTCTGAAGGCATCTCTTATCCTCCTGACAGCATATGTTCTAAATGAATTCAGATGAAAAAAAAAAGAAAAGGTGTCAGCATGTCTGAATGTCTGAGGCTATGCTCCTAAATGAATTTAACAGCTTTTCCTTTAGAATTAACTGTCTAATCTTCCCTTATAGATAATCCACTTTGATCTGTGCTCATGGGACAGGCCAATCCATTACCATTCTGGGATGACAAATGAAACAGCTTAAGGAAAATAAATCTACCCTCAACAAGTCACATACAAATGGCAGAACTGTTACTGAAATGCTCCTTAGATTGCTGGTTCTTTAGTGTTATTCATGCCTGGCTTCTCTCCATTAACATGGATAATTGAAACTTCAGTGTACAGAAACAAATCAAGAATTCAGAGGTTAAATGATGCATCACATATTATGCACCAGGATAGTGATCTATGCCAGACTCAGGTCAGCTTTCCAATCCTTGTCCCATCTTTTGACTTTCACTTCCCTTTCTGTAACACAAAATGTAAGGCTCTGGTCCACATCAAGATCCTATCATGGTCAAAACTATGGACGTATGCCAAAATGCTTTTTTCTATTTTAGAAGTGCAAATATCTGCACACACCTACCACCTACCCCTAACCAAAGATCACTTGCAGTATACAACAGTTCCAGAGCAAGGCTTTCAAATCAGACAGGCTTGGGTTTGAATCCTTGCTCCAGCTCCTACTGTTTGTGTGAATGTGGGTGAGCTTTTTAACATAGATATATTTCCTCATCTGTCAAAAAAGCCATACTACCACTCAGTGCTGTGGGGAGGATTAGGCTTTAAAAAATGCGCCTGGAATTTGGTCCAAAGCCTGGTACATAGAAGGAGTCAATAAACAGAAACTGTTCTTCTTCTTGTTATACCTTAAACCAACTAGTAGTTCCCTCAAGTCTTGGTCTCACCTTTATCTGGCATCCTTAGGGTCAAAGGAGACCATGCTGTTGCACAAGCCCCACCCATTTCATGAGAAAATGTGAACAGAAGGGCAGAGTGGTCTGGTCTGGATAATGAGCCACAACAGACAACTCAAGAGCCTTTAATCAGATGTATTCCCACACTCAGATGGCCGTGGCCTAGTTCCCCATGCTTACTCCATCTACTCCAGATGGAAAGACATGAGACTAAGGAGAAGCAGACCAAGTCAGATGACATTTCCTCTAGTTTTTTTTTTTTTAACTTTTTATTTTTAGAGTTGGAATCTCACTCTGCCACTCAAGCTGGAGTGCAGTGGTGTGATTATAGCTCACTGCAGCCTCAAACTCCTGGGCTTAAGCAATTCCCCTGCCTCAGCTACCCCAGCAGCTGGGACTACAGGCACATATTATCTTGGCTAATTTTAAAAAGTGTTGTTGTTTTTTTTTAAAGTCGAGGTCTTTCTATGTTGTCCAGGCTGGTCTTGAACTCCTGGACTCAAGCAATCCTCCCATCTCAGCCTCCCAAAGCACTGAAAACAAATGCGTGAACCACCACACCTGGCCCTTTAGTCTTAATGATCTCAGCTTGCTGGGCTTTTAACTTTGAACACCAGTTAAAGAGTCCACATGATAGTATTAGTGACACTTAGCAACATAAGAACAGAAATGTAAGTCAAGAAATGAGAAATAGGCTGGGTATGGTAGCTCATGCCTGCAATTCCAGCACTTTGGGAGGAGGAGACAAGTGGATTACCTGAGCCTGGGAGTTTGAGACCAACCTGGGCAACTTGTCAAGATCTCTACAATTAATTAAAAAATTAGCCAGATGTGGTGGCACACACCTGTAGTTCCAGCTACTTGGAAGGCTGAGGTGGAATGACTGCCTGAGTCCAGCAGGTAGAGGCTGTGGTGGCTGTAAGCATGCCACTGCACTCAAGCCTGGGCAGCAGTGAGGCTCTGACAACAGAAAAAAAAAAAAAAGAGAGAGAACGTGTTGGGAGATGTATGCATACAACTTACTGGGAAACTTTATTTTGGAGAGGACAAATTTTGTTTTAGATAAACTTTTCTAAAGTAAAAAGAGATTTTTCCATTAAAAATTCAAATGTCAGGTCTATTTGCATTTAAAAGCAAGAGTAAATGAAATCTTTGAAGAAACTATGAAGGAGTAAGAAAGTTTAGGAACTGGCACTTTCAGATTGTAAGACATTGCTGAGACTTTGATCTTTTATTTTTATTTTTTATTTTTTTTGAGTTGGAGTCTCACTGTGTCACCCAGACTGGAGTGCAGTAGCTGCTCCCGGTCACCGCAGCCTCGACCTGCTGGGCTCCGGCGGTCCTTCCGTCTCAGCCTTCGAGTAGCTGGAATTACCAGCATGCGCTACCACGCCCGGCTGATTTTTGATTTATTGTAGAGATGAGGTCTCACCCAGTTGCCCAGGAGGGTCTCGAACCTGCAGGCTCAGGCAATAATTTTTTATTTATTGTAGAGATGAGTCTTACCAAGTTGCCCAGGTGGGTCTCGAACCCGCGGGCTCAGGCAATCCACTGGCCTCAGCCT